TGCTGAAAGACCAGTCCAGCTCAACTTTTACTTGCCCTTCTAGTTATTGAAATATTTTGCCTTAATACACATGTATTTTGGAGACTTTGTTAAAAATAGCTATGTTGCAAGTGTGCTCCCATAAGACTATGTAGAATAAAATAATGCAGAATAAATGACCACTACAGCAAGGTTAATCTTGATGGAACATTTTTTCTTTATAACTTTTTGTAAATGAATACACAAAATGTCATATGCAAAATATGTAAGGTGTTTAAAGTATGGGACAAGTGAACAACCTTTTTATTTGAAGGCAAATTCGTGCACAATTGGTTAAATTATGGAGATTTGGTAGCATCTATCTTTCGGAACGGAATTCGTAAAAATTACCGCTGCCACCATTATAGAACTGTTGCCATTGATTATAAAGGGATTGACAATACAAACAATCGACTTACCTTCCACGTCTGGATCGTAGCCAAGCAAGAAATTGCCTACTTATTCTAGTTATAAATTACACAAATATGACGCCAAACTGTCAAGCCTAACACACTAGTTCCGGTTGGTCCGGAACCTTCCGTTAACTTCCGTCAACTCTATTAACCAGTACCATACGGTACTACAAAACTTTAAAGTCAATCGCAACTACTCGGCCCTTTCCGTCAGTCTTCGGATAAGGACCTCGGACACAATAGTATGAATACACAGAACGGATGCGGTATTTCGGTCTAACCTACGCAAAGAAACTAAACATGTAAACAAATAGTAATTTAATGCTGGGAGTTGTTGACAAGTTTATTTCCAGTATATGTAGTAAAAATCCAACTAAAATAAGTGAATTCATATGTACAAAAGATAACAATACATTATTTATATATTTATTATTATGGTTGTAGAAACCGAAAGTACCAAAAAACCAACCTGTTGACATTTAGTCAGATTTGTTTAAAATTGAACATCAGGGGGCATATTTAAATTGCAAATTGTTGTCCGACATATTTTCAAGCACAAAAGTTACCGGAACAGACATTGTATGTCAAATATATACATTCGTTTTACATTATCTCTGTTTCTTTTTTTATGGTAGAACTACTTTCAATCCGTATTGTTTCCGAGAAACAAGAACCTTATTATAGATAATATCCGAGGCAGTTCCGAATGCTCTAACGTTTGTGCATCCCGATGTGAATGGTTTGTCTTTATTTTCAATTATACAAACTGTGCAAGTCACTTTATTACCGTCATACCGCAACCAAAAATTGCTTTCAAGACACTTGATTCGAAAAACTCGTTTCGGAGCATCATCATTGTGCATGGATTTCTCAGTTGTTTCAGCATTCGCCGATTGATTTGGTTGGAAAACCTCATTTGGTATAGGCGCAGAGTTGTTTTCGGTAGATTCTGTCGCCAAATCAACGTTAACATTGTCTTTATTGAAGAATGAAGTCAATCGTCGCTGCTTTTTTTTCGAAGCAGACATTGTGAATTTACCCGGATAATGACGTCACAATCTGAAACATCTGTGCGCTTTTAACGCGACTAATCACTTAAGTGTCTAAGATAAATCATGTGACCTATCAGCTGATGAAATTCTCGCTATTTATAGAAAAAAATATATACTACGACGCTCGCAAAAATATGCGTCACGGAAAACGCACGGCTATAATATTACCGCGTCAAATGCAAAAGCAATGCGTCAAAAACGTAGAAAACGCTCTCTAGAGAAAACACTGCATGCAGTGATGTAATTTAGTGAATATAAATGAAACCAAACAAAGCTTGTTACTAAGTCCTTATATATCCTGTATAATGTGCTCAAGTTATTTTCTCTTGCCAAAGGTCATAACCTAAAATAATTTCATCAGCAAATATGAAAGACATTCCAACATGAGTTGTTTCTCTTTCATTTAACTATTATTTTATGAAATGCGATGGTCTGGGGTATTTGAGCTTTAGCAGTCCTTAAAAGGGGCCAATCAAATAAACATGAGCAATTTTTATTAAAGATTACTATATGATTCGAATAACAAAGTTTGGTGATCATCCATCAATAAGTTCTGTAGAAAAAAAATGTCTAAAGGTTTATATTATTTTAGCTCCCTTAACCCCTAAAAGGGGCCTATCAAATTAATATGAGCAAATTGATAAAAGACTACCTAAGAATGCTACATACAAAGTTTGGTGATCATCCATCAATTGGTTCTGGGGAAGAAGATGTCTAAAGGTTTTTCTATTTTTAGCTCTTTTGACGCCTAAAAGTGGCCAATTGAAATCATATGAGCAAATTTAGGTGTGACTGTCACAAGGATGCTACAGACCAAATTTGAAGTATAACTGTCCAGCGGTTTCAGAGAAGAAGATGATTGTTGACGCATGACGCATTTTAAATAAGATCAGTTATCAGTAAGACGGAAGTTTCATTTTGTTATTATGTCCTGGTTGTTATAACATTACAAATCCGAAACACAACATGTAGTCCATCGGCACTTCTGAAAGCATAATTAACTCTCAACAGCCCCGTGTCGCTGCATTTGATGAACCTTCCTTGCTTTAAATAAAGAAAAAATAAGAATACGTTAAATATTAAAAAAAATGATTTACTTTTTTGTATTTTAAAAATAGGCAAAAACATGTTATATATATCATATAGACCAAATTGCGTACCTTGTTATTGCGTTGAAAAATGATAATGCTAATCATTTGTTGTTTAACCGTCCTTTCTTTTATGTCTTTTTTATGTTCTTAATTTATGCCCAGGAAGTTTTATCTATTACATCCACGGTTGTTAAACTTAAATGCTTTATTTTCAAGTTATTACTTTCACTCCCTGTAATGTAATCAGCTGTAAAAGATTGTTGTTTTTTGATTGCCTGATTTACAATTTTGCAAAGAATTGGAACTGTGTAATACTGATGAGCAGGTTTCTTTTTTTTAGACATACCGACAAGGTATTTTTGGATAAATTGCCTAGATACCCAGCTAACTTTTAAATCTCCAACATTGAAATAAGATTGATAATGACACTTGTGTGATTATCTATTTTTTAAAAATATTTTAAGGCTAACACCGATTTAATTTGAACAGGAAGGAAGAATGAATTTGTATAATTAAACTTTTCATTTTTTAATTCGATGATTAAATGTAAAGGTTAAAGTGATTAGAATGATAACGTACCGTAAACGTTGTAAATAAGATGAGTACGACGTTGGTTTAAACACAATGCCCGACAAAGTTACGACACAAATTAAAGTGGTAAATGAATGAAGTTAAATAAGGAGGTCTCATATTTATTTTGTTTTGTATCTTAGGTATAAGACTGATATTGTATGCTATGAAAAAGGCTTTATTCTTATTATAGTTACTGAGAAAACTACCTAAATTAATGACCTCTTTAATGCCATCAAAATGTAAGAGATCTACGATAGTAATTATGTTTTGTCTGTTTATAAATAAAAAAAATACTTTTAAGCTGTATTGTGTTTTGTAAGATTTTCAATTCTACACTTCTTTATCATTCTCTTCATGACAAACAAAAACAGCACCAAACATGCAATTCACATGCATGAATAGTAAAGTTTGACTGCAGAATATAACTTATGCAGTTGCGGTATAGGATAAAAAGGTAATATAATAAGGTTTTTAACCATGATGTTTCAAAGAACTTTTTTTTAAATCATGTAATAAGCATGGAGAAGGGAGGCCCCAAAATATGATTAATCTTAAACAAGTTTGGTAGTGATGAACATAGTAATGTCACTAACTAAATCAGTCACAATGATTTAATGCAAAAAATGCCCCACCAATATTGGCCAAGTGGTCTCTAAGAAGATTACGTTTGAAGAAAAAATGACTTTAGATACAAAATCTACTACATATATTAATGAAAGACCGACAGTTTATTCGTTAACACTGCCCATTGTATAAAGTAAGCAAAAGAAAATATCTTTGGCCATACTCCATATATTTGGCCTTACTTATATATACTTTCCAAGCATCTGCGTACATTTAATATTGAAATTGTTCAATTTCAGTTCCTTTCATGGGGAGGGGTCGGTATTTTTTATATACTTTTAAAATATAATTAAATAGAGTGGTCACTCTTTTCCATTGGCTTGTGATTTTTTGTAATGTTACTGTGGAGATTAAATTGGGCTATATTTCAATTAACCATGTTTTGAAGTTTCAGACAAAATTATTAAAAATGTTTTCATGTACTTGTTTGAAGTGTTCACTTATTTGTTTATAGTACTAATCAACAAGATATGCACGAGGTTATTCATTAATATGGATTATCCCGTATTTCTAGCACATTTACAATATTTACGGCAGTAACATTACGTGTCATACAAATACAATATGGAAGACTGCGGTGATAATTAAAGTCATTGAAGAAAATGATAAAAAGATGAATATCATAATTAGTGAAATAACTGAATTAAGAAGCAAGAGGGAGATAACGTGCATGTACAGTGTACATATATAAAGTTAGAGGATGTATTAAGATAGAGCCAAATCTTCAGTTTTGTGTAAAAAAACTTCGACCAATGTTTGAGTAGTAATCTGGAAATTGTCTAAAAATTAAGTACTTAGCAATAGAAATTGTCATCTTGTTATCTAAATTAATGGTATGGACCCTATTGATGTCTATACGTCTTATGACAGTTTTATTTGTTCGTTTCACACTATGTGTATCCGAAAAGCATGAATGTGAAAATAACCAAGGAATACGCGAAACTAACGCCTGATACAAGCAAAATACGACCGAACGTGTAGCACATTAATTAAACAGACAAACATATCGAATAGTTCTCACATTTTATAAAATGAATGAGCAGACATTAGATTCTAAACCTCATTAAAAACAGGAAAATTTGCTTTTTAAGATCGTGAGATGAACAACCTGGCTATCGTATGGAATTTGACAAGTATATGGAAGCATTCTTATTACAGTAAAACAGACACATGTTTTAGCTGAGTGTTTGTTTCTTTCAGTATACCCGAACTTTAAAAATACGCAGACATCATGTTGTTGTCCATCTTTATTTCAAAATAAATGTTCATTTATGTTCAGAGAAATAAATGTTCTTACATATTCATATTTTTTTGTCTGTTGATAATACAATTACTCTAGTATTAAACATTGTTCGTATGTTTTCTTTTTCTGTTCTGCATGCTTAATTATTTTATGAACGGTTCAAATGAAGGATCCTGCTCGTAATTTAGATCGGGAAAACGTTTGAAGCATGGGACCATGAGTCCGTATCTAGTTTCATGTTCCGTCCCTGTATCTGTATCTTTTAGATGGAACTTTTCATTTGTTTTTGTTGTGACATTTCCGTACCGCCGGTTACCATCTCCATCTTTAAAGCATATCTTATCATCTATTTCCACTCTTCCCAGTGGTACTTTTTTCCAATGCTGTTAAAATAAAGAAGTTAGGACCATAAAAAATACTCACACAGGAGATGATTCATTTGACATATTTCGAAGGCTGTCAAACAAAGTCGCAGTTAATCACTGTGACAAAAAAAAAAATAAACGCCTGAGCCTACCATATTTGAATAAGAGTATCGCCATTTATTCAATTAAATAATGGAACACATTCTGGTAAACATACAATAACTTGAAAGGCAACCATACAAACTGAGATGTGTATGTGGCCCACACAAAAATTGTAATTTTACAAACCTATAACACATAAAATTATAATATTATGCAAAACAAAATAAGTGATCGCCTTATATTACGGCATTGACACCGAAATTCTTACGCTATATATAGAGGATATTCAAGTTTTGTCTATAAATACATGATTTATTTTCATCGAGTGGTATGAAAATAAATATTTCATGAGTGGCGGTAGCCACGAGTGAAATATGGTAATTTTCATGCCACAAGATGAAAATAAATCATGTATTTATAGAAAAAACTTGAATTTTCTGTTTATTATATAGTATTACATTTTTCTCTTTTTTGACATTAAAATTTGAAAGACTTTACCTTAAATTTTGTGTACTGGCAGAATTTAAAAGAAAGTAGACCGGCAAGACACCAGTGAAAATACGGAAAATATGTTTCACTGCAGTGAAAAATAAATTTTTACAATGAAAATACAGAAAATGAAAATACGCATTTTATTTTCATCAATATTTCTCAATATTTCATTTTTAAGTATATAATAAATCACATTATTTAAAAAAAAACACAAAAAAATCTTTATTTCACTCAGTGTTTATTTAAATACAAGAAAATGGATACGTTTGTCGTGGCCTGACAGAATTTTTGTTATCAATTTCTGCTTTAGTGCTGATTGATACCTTTGGAAATATTAAGAAAGTTGAAAGAAAAATGTGGAAATATACAAAAATGCGAGCGTTATCATACAAGTGACAACAGATATACTAGTATACATACACTAACTTGAAAGAACTTACTTAACATTAAACGAAAAATAGCAAAAAGGCAATCCCATAGTCAAACGCGCAAGAGCATATTATTAATAGTATCACATGGAATGAAATAAAATATCGGTATGGTGTTTTTACGCGAATCAAATATTACGAGGACGAAAAGACGTTTCACAAAAAAAACAAGGCTTAATAACGCAAATTAAAAGCAGAATAATTTTTTACGAAAGCCGAAATAGACGTAATAACGTGAAACAAAATGCGTAATAACAAAAATCAAAATGAATTAAAACGCAGAACAAAAGGCTTTATAATGTGAAAGGCGCTTGAACGCAAAACGAAAAGTATTTTAACAAAGGATGATAGTATGCAAAAAGTCGTTATTACGCCAAACAAAGGATATTGTTATGCAAACAAAGGCGTAATTACACGAATAAAGGCTATAACGCGAAAGAAAAGGCGTAATAACGCTGATAAAGGCGTTAGAGCAATAAATTCAGATCTATATTGTTTTTCCTTTCTCGCGTAACTAGCTCATTGGATAAACTTTGATAAACTCTAAAATTGGCATATTGACGTAATATCATGTATAACGGTTTAACGTATTGAAATGATACATATATTTACCTACCTTAAATTCATCACTCATTGCTTTTTTGAACTTCAGATGTCTTGCTTTTTTTTCGTCTCTTTCTTCAGTTAGCTGGAATTATAAAAAAAGCAAAAACAATTTAACTATCGGTAAATCAGGAAAGTAATTGGTAGATAAATCATTCAGTTACCAATACGAACAATAGATATTCGATCTCAACAGATAAATAAAAATCACATGAACGTAAAAGATACAATGTAATAAAGGGTGTTACAATTTGTGACTGTTCGTTTATATTCAGGATATTTGTCACACACCCAATTTTCTTAAACCAATGTGTCAGGTTGTTAAAATGTTAACCACAAGTATTACGAGTATTAACCAAATAATCTCTTTAAGTTAAGACCTACATGCTTTTAAAATATCCTCATTGCCCGGACTATATCTGCATGCGGTTGAAAAGCAAATTTCACGAATAAAAGAAGTGTCGTAAAAATGCAAAAACATTTCTCCATAACATTTTTCCTTTACAATTTAATATAAAGCAGGATGGGATTCAACATCTACAGCCCTTTTAAGTACACATCGCTACACAGCATCAAACCACTACACATTACAACACTCTCTTAATAATACACTCTTAATTTCAGTGTCCGTTATAATAAACAATGCTATCCACGTGATGTGACATCTTCCTTTTTCCATTTAGATTTAAGTGTTCATCATTCCAAGTATTATATATCAGAGATAAGGAGAACTACTCAGACTTGAAATGAAATAACAACCAAAAGGATAAATATGATAATTGTTTAACTGTTTTAAGTAAGTATACATCAAAGTCTTTCCTGTTGCAAAGACAATAAATCAAGTGTCGTTTAAATACATGAAATTAGGTTTGTCATCTCATAATTTTCCTTCAAATTGCCTTTCTTATGGTACTTCATATAATTTAGAAATATATGACTGAGTTGGTATTTTGTCATGATTTCAAGGTTACCAAAAAACTTTTTCTTTAATATTTACACAATGAGGCATAACTGTCCATATATATTAAAACTGCTGAATACCGTCAAAGTTGCGGTGAAGAGTTTTGATATTTTTGTGTAGTAATTTTATTTTAATCGAGAAATATGCTTTCAAGAACAATATATGCATTACGTGTTTAAGGAAATTTATAAAATCATAACGTAATACATATGCCACAAATAGTTCGGCAAAGCTTTGTGAGCAACAGTATATATTTTTTTTATTTGGGTTTTACGTCACACCGACACAGTATAGGTCATTTGGCGACGTTCCAGCTTTACTGGTGGAGAAAGACCTCAGGTGCCCCTCTGTGCATTTTATCAGGCACGAATGGGCACCCGAGTAGAACCACCGACGTTCCGTAAGCTAGCTGGATAGCTTCCTCACATGAAATAATCCAAAGTCGGGATTCGAACCCACAGCGGTGAGGGGCAAGTGGTTTGAAGTCAACAGTAAAAGTGATATACTATGAATGATTTGGATTTTATCTCATCAAATAAAATCCAAGACTTTCACTTAGCATAAACAAGTAAAAAGACTTAAAAATAGAGTACATCTTAAATAACAAAGCAAAATATTTACAAAATAAAATATAATAGTCAGAAGTTCTCGTCGGGATTCGAATCCTCAGCGGTGAGTGACAAGTGATATTAAGTAATGTAAACAGTAAAGTTTGAAAAAGTAGCTCAGTTTGCATTGAATTAGAGAGGTTAAGATTCTTAAGTTGATAACCGTCTTTTTAGATGTTCACTGTTTTTGCAAAAAGTAAAGTATTTTTTGTCGTTTTAATGCGAAAAAATAAATCAATGCATACACATCAAAACTCCATACCGGTGTTCAATAGCCGATAAACAGCTCTCAGACCGATATATTTCTTAAATAAAACCATGGGCTAGGAAAAATATTATTATTTTATACTTATTTTTATTTATGATACAATTTCCACATAATTGGAAAGATGTAAAGTATTGCATGATAAACGTAAAGAGAAATGCAAACACCAACATATATTTTACCCAATCTTTGTGAATTAATCATACAACACGGGCAATTCATGGTATTTGGCAAGATTTTTTTATGTTATATGCGGTTTTCAGAAAAGGTGCCAATTAAAAAAGGACCTGTACATAACGTATACTCTTCTATACATTTATATATAATATAGGTACATGTATATACAATGGGTTATGTACTTTAAACTTATTTATATTACAAAGTTTACTTATGATTAAAACTATACAACAACACCCTTTTTTTTGTCATGAACACAATGTTCAATTTAAAAAGAATTCCAAACTGATGGTGATTCTGTTTAATACATTCATTTTGTGAGTCATTTTATGTTATCCATCAGTATGGAATGAACAAGCTGTATAATTTGTTAAAAAACATCTCATAAAATAAATAATTTTTACCTTAATTTTCTGAAATATTTTTCACGAAGATTGAATTCCAGGGCTTAACTCCGCCATTGCGATAAGGACACACTTAATATTCAACAGCGCATGCGTAACTAACAAAGAAAGACTTATCACGTGGTTTATCACGTGTTTAATGATTTTTTTTTTTATAAAAATCAGGCCATGGCAAAAGTTAACTAAATAATTGTCCTCTTATTTTCTTATGATAAAATGTTAAATTTCTTTGTATTTGTGTAGGCAATATTATGTTATAGCAGAATGCTTAATTATATCAAATTATCTAACATATAGACCTGACATACAGTGAAAACAAAAATTCATATTGACAAAATAGTCTACAGTGTTATAGGAAATCCAGAGAAAAATCTTTAAAAAACTTTGGATCTAAAAATGACAATTACCAGTAAATGTAATTGAAAAAGGAATTAAAGTAATTTCACTAGAGCTGTAAAATGTTTAGAAGAACCGAAATAAAGGACTTAATTTTAATCACTTAGGTAATTTGACATGACGGGACTGGAAATAATTCTTTGAGATAGGTATTCCATTTAGATAAAAAACTTATGTGTAAAATCTGAGCTAATTCGTTAGTCGTTTTTTTTTCAGAATAGTTATTTTAATTTAATACAACACTTTTTGCTCAAATTATGATGCCAAAAATAGCACAACAATTATATTTGTAATTCATTTCTGAGTAGATTTCCTTAATCATGTCTTACATATATTCCTGTTTTAAGTGTTCCAGTTGATCAATGTTATGAATACAACTATTAAGATAATGTGATTTTCTCTAGGTTTTTGACATCTGAGGAGTCCCTTAGCAAAGTCATCAAATATTTATATTTCTGTAAGGAATTGACATCAAGTTATCCTTTTATCACAAAATGCATTAAACTTAGTAAATTGTCACGTTTGTTTGTTACCCCACCTACTATATTCATACAGTTATTTGTTAAATTTGCTTAAGCAATATAGCTTGTATAATTTAATTTCAGATGATATATTATAATTTGTGTCCATGTATGATAATTATTTTCATTTTTAGATCAATGTTTTACTGTGCATTGCGATATTTGATCGGAATATTTATTTGTATTCTGTGTTTGAAATTGATTATGTTCCGGTGTAATATGCTGATAACTGCTATTCAACCGCATAAAAGTCTTATGTATTCATATATACGGAAAAAATATAAAAAAGAGTTAAGACGAGGTAAAGTCCTAGGAAAGTTTTCTACACATTGCTAGCGCCACTTACAATCCACGTAAATTAGCAATAAGATGTCAGAGTATACATAAATACTTCTTACTCTGTGAGTAATGCAGTAGAATTATTGTGATAGATATATAGAATTAATCATCTGAACAAAAATGGTGTAATTATTACGTTTAAAGAAATAGTAACCTCCACACATTTTGAAATATACATTTTAGTTAAAATGTGTGCTGTACTGTTAAATCCTGCCATTTGTTTAGCCCTGAACAAGTCATGATCATTTTACATTACCTGTGACATATTATTCTTAGCTTGATGTCATGATATTTCTTTACATCGACTAATTTGACTCTTCTAATTGTACTTTGTACATAGCATTTTCTGTCAATACTGATATGTTTATTCTTTATTAACAAAATTCAATTAATTCCAGCTTATCGAACGTCGGTGGTTCTAACCAGATGCCCGTTCGAGTCTAAAAAAGCGCTCATCCTGTAAAAACTGGAACGTCGTCATATGACCTATACTGTGTCGGTGTGGCATAAAACCAAATCAAATTAACAATCAAACTTAGTCAATAACGAAAATATAAAAGTACAATATAAAATCATGTTCATAATATATTTCAGTTCTGAATAGACTTTTAGACATTTCAAACTAGTGCAATGTCTTTAATCGTGTTCTTACTTATTTTCTCTATACAGCGCTAGTACTGAGAAGGGTTATTAGCCGAGAGCTGCATAAATCTTATCCCAAAGATTTGTTCACAGAAGAAAACATTGAGATTTGCACGTGACAATACAATGAAGACACAAACGTTTGTATTGTTACATTTGTACGACCTTATGTATCCCAACTTCCTGTTTAGATTACTTCCATGTGGCTTTACCAATGATTAATTTTCATCCTGAGTATGACTGAAACCATCGGAAAAAAAGTTGCGAGTGGTTATAACAAGTGTTGTTGGAAATGAACGTCGTAAAACCTCGAAACTTCTAAAAAATGCCCTGCACTTAAACCTCTGTTAGGACACAACATGCCTTTCTGTTTATATCGAATATATTTCTGGTGTAAATGATGAATACCTAAATCTATATGTAAATGGTATAGTTATTAATACTGAATTAAGGTTTGAAAAGGACTTTTATTGACCTGTTATATTATAGGTATGATGCAATATTAACTCTCACCGTGTTAAACTCGCACGGGAGAACGCATTTATTAAGTTTATTTCCCTTATGTGCAGTTCCGGAAAGAAAACAAAATATACACTTTAATAAGACCACAATCAGAAATTACATGTAGCGAACAATATTGCAATTTGATGTGTTTACCCTGCAAGAGCATGTATATGACTGGTAGTGAGTTAGTAAATTGATAATGGTATTTTGCAAAAACAGGTAACCCGACAACATTGCAGTTGGGCGTGTCCATTTACGCGTCCCTTGTTGATTTTTGAAGTCCATTTTTTATCGTGTGATATTAAGTAATTCACTTTGATTAGCTTGAGGCAGACGGTGTACATGTAGAACTGTTCAAATCTTATTAATTCGAGAGACCTCTCCACAGTGTTGAGAATAATTGCTGGCAGTATCCATTTAAGTGTGTCATATTGAAACTAATGCATCGCATTTTAAGTCTTAAATAATTAGAACAAGTCTACAAAAAACTGGTATGCTTTGAGCAATGGTTCATTCCGTTTTAATCATTTAAACTGTATAATGTACAAACCGATTATTGTTTTTGTGTCGCCTTGAAAAAGGCGACATATAGGGATTACTTTTGTCGGCGGTGTCGGCGTCGTTGTCGTCGTCGGCGTCGTTGTCGGCGTCGTTGTCTCCTTAAGCTTGTCCGGAGCATAAGTCAGTCATTATGTGTTGGATTGACTTCAAACTTGGTATGCATGCGTCTTATAATGACTCGAAGTGCAGTGCACAAGAACTGGTACTCTGCATTTCTTATTTTTTGAGTTATTGCCCTTTGTTAATTTTCATACTTTATTTTTGTCCGGGCCATTTCTCCTAAAGTATAAAAGCTATGGACTTGAAACTTCATAGGATGATAGATCTCATTAAGAAGAAGTGCAGTGCATAAGAACTGGTACTCTACATTTCTTATTTTTTTAGTTGTTGCCCTGTGTTAATTTTCATACTTTATTTTTGTCCAGGCCATTTCTCCTAAAGTATAAAAGCTATGGACTTGAAACTTCATAGGATGATAGATCTCATTAAGAAGAAGTGCAGTGCATAAGAACTGGTACTCTACATTTCTTATTTTTTGAGTTGTTGCCCTTTGTTAATTTTCATACTTTATTTTTGTCCAGGCCATTTCTCCTAAAGTATAAAAGCTATGGACGTGAAACTTCATAGGATGATAGATCTCATTAAGAAAAAGTGTAGTGCACAAGAACTGGTACTCTACATTTCTTATTTTTTGAGTTATTGCCCTTTGTTAATTTTCATACTTTATTTTTGTCCAGGCCATTTCTCATAAATTATAAAAGCTTTAGACTTGAAACTTCATAGGATGATAGATCTTATTGATAAGAAGTGCAGTGCACAGAAACTGCTGCTCTGCATTTCTTATTTTTTGAGTTATTGCCCTTTGTTGATTTTCAAATTTCATTGTTGTCCTGGCCATTTCTCCTAAACTATATTGTTCACAAGGCGACACATCCGACTCGCGGAGTTCTAGTTTAATAGCGGTTTACTATTTCATATTCCGAAAAATAGTAACATTGAACATTATAGCTACAATATCACAATGCACTATCACGGCGCAAATTTTTCTCAAGTTTTATTTTCTTGAAAATATTGTGATTGGAGGCATGCAGCTGTATATACTTTTTATTCCAATCAAATGGTATAAACAGTTTATGTAAAGGGACTTAAAATTGTCTGATTAACATACTTTATGCACGTTTTGGAAAATTTCTGTTGCAGAGGAAATGTTTCCATATAGTTTTCAAAACATTAATCAAAACTTTAATTATTGATTTTTAAAAGAAACTTAAATTTTGATATTAATATATATCATTTATTTTAAATTTAGTTTGATAACATAATATAAATTGTTCCCTTTGAAGAAAAAATATCTCTGATGCGTTAAGGTTTGAGTTTAATACGATGCATAGTTCTTTTACTTAAGCGAACGTATTGTCTATAACGCCGTCCTAGAACGCGACAAACATCTATGTATCAATAATTATCTAGGGTAGGTTATTCGAAAACATGTTATGCATGTTTAAGACAAACGAAGTTTGCTGATATTCTGAAAGCTATATTAACACATGTTTCTAGTTTTAAATTGTTTACAATACTATGAGCCTTTGTTCAAGACGGTTGTTTTAAACACCGATTTTACAAAAAGTCATATGTTACACTAAAATTTTGTGTATTTAACTTCATGACTATAGGTCTTAGAGCTTATATGAGTCGCTGAAATTATGCGCGGGATTGGGTCTCAAACCAAAATAGGCACGAGATATGGTAGAAACCGGCTTAAAACGTAAAACTAGTATCCCAATTGTTTATACATGGCACGATTGGTTCTGGAATGCAGTAACTTCAATTAAAACAGAGCTTCAGACTGGCCGGACCAGTTGTTGTAAGACCGAAATATGTGGAAAGAGTTCGAACTATAGTTATATGGAAGATCGTCGCCTAACTGTGAGGGCGATTACTAGGAAACTTTGTGTTACGCTGTCTGTTGTGCATAACATTCTTGCAAACGATTTAAATATGTCTAAAGTAGCGCATGATGGGTTCCGAGATTATTATAAGATCATGACAAGGCACGTCATGTTAAGTGTTCTGAAGCGTTTCTAAGGCGATTGGAGTTAGAAGTTGATACGTTTGTAAACCGCATTGTTACGATTGATGAAACT